GGCGCGGGGGGATCGCGGAGGCTTACGATCCCGGGGCCGGTCCCCGGTCCGGTACGGGGGCAACACTGGGGGTTGCGATCCGTTGCCGGACATGGAAAAAAGGCAGAAAGGAAAAAAAAAAAAAAAAAATACCAAAGAAATGATACAATAGTGATCACAATGCAATAAAGTTAGATATCAATACAAAAAGTTACCACCACCCACATACCACCCATGGAAAATTTCTAAATTATGAGTCAACAAGAAATGAAGAAATACTTAAAAACGAATGAGAATGAAAACAATGTATTCTAACAGTTGTAAGTCGCACCGTGTGCTGTACTTGTAGAAGTACTTCAGTTAGAAAAGAAAGAATGAAAATTAAACAGAAATATTCAAGAAATAGGCAAAGAATAACCAAAGCAGTTCAAAAGAAGGAAACAGAGAACTGATGTTGACGAAATAAAACAGAGAAACAGAATTAACAAAACAAAAACTGATTATTTGCAAAAACTAATGAGATAGACAAATCCTACCAAGAATAATTAAATTTTTAAAAACATTAAGGTACAGATGGACAATTTTAAAATTGAAAAGAGTAGATGGCATAACTATAAATGGAGCAGAAATCCTCCCAATAATTATTAGAGAAAAATTTTAACAATTTTATGCCAATACCTTAGAAAACTTAGATGAAGAAATTTTTGTTAGCATATTCATTATTACAAATCATAATTATTCTTTATGCTCCTTACCTGATGAATCCCTTCTCCGCCCCCCATGTCTAGTATCCTTAGGTTTGTTCTCTCCTTCTGAAAGTTCAACATATAATTGTTGTTTTTCTTTCTCTCTTTCTTTCTCTTTTTCTCGAGAGTCTCTCATTCTCTGTCTCTCTCCCTCCCTCCCTCCTTTACTCCTTCCCTCCCTCCCAGTTATGAGTGAGGAAATGCAATGTTTCTCTTTCTGTGTCTGGCTAATTTCACTTAACATAATTTTCTCCGGGCTCATCCATGTTGCTGCAAACAGCAGAATTTCATTCTTTTTTTATGCAGAGTATTATTCTGTGGTGTATATATACCACATTTTCCTTATCCAGTCATCCATTGATGGACATTTAGGTTGGTTCCATATCTTGGCCATTGTAAATAGAGTTGCAATGAACATGGGAGTGCAGGTATCCTTTTAACGTGATGACTTCCATTCTTTGGGGTATATACCCAGAAGTGGGATTTGCTGGATTGTACGGAAGTTCTATCTGGATCATATGGTAGTTGTTTGAGAAACCTACATAATGTTTTCCTTAATGACTACTAATTTACAGTCCCACCAACAGTATAGAAGAGTTCCCCTTTCCCTGCATCCTTGCCAGCATTTGTTATTCTCGCTCTTTTTAATAATGGCCAGTCTGACGTGAGATTATATCTCAATGTCATTTTGATTTACGTTTCTTTGATGCTTAGTGACTTTGAGCATTTTTTCATGTACTTGTTGTCCATTTGTATGTCTTTCTTTGAAAAACATCAGTTCAGCTCCTTTGCTCATTTTTTAATTGGATTATTTGTTTTTCTACTGTGAAGTTGTTTGAGTTCCTTATACATACTGGATATTAATACCTTGTCAGATACAGAGTTTGCAAATATTTTCTCCTATTCCATAGGTTGTCTTTCCACTCCGTTGATTGTTTCATTTGCTGTGCTTTTTAGATTGATATAATCTCATTTCTTTATTTCTTCTTTTGTTGCTGTTCTTTTGGGGTCTTATTCATAAAGTCTTTACCCAGTCCTACTTCCTGGAGTGTTTCCCCTATGTTTTCTTTTAGTAATTTTATCGTTTCAGGTCTTCCATTTAAGTCTTTAATCCATTTTGAGTTGATTTTGGTATATGGTGAGAGGCACAGGTCCAGTTTCATTCTTCTGTATATGGATGTCCAGTTTTCCCTGCACCATTTATTGAAGAGGCAGTCTTTTCCCCAATGTATATTCTTGTTGCCTTTGTCAAGGTCAGTTGGCTGTAAGTACACAGGTTGATTCCTCGGTGTTCTATTCTGTTCCATTGATCTGAGTTTCTGTTTTTGTGCTGTTCTTGTTACAATAGCTTTGTAATAGAATTTGAAGTTGGGTAGTGTTATGACTCTGGCTTTATCTTTTTTTGCACAGGATTGCTTTGGCTACTCGGGGTCTTTTGTTGTTTCATATGAATGTTAGGATTTTTTTTTCTGTTTCTGTGAAGAATGGCATTGGTATTTTGATGGGGATTGTATTGAATCTGTAGATTGCTTTGGGTAGTATGGACATTTTCACAATGCTAATTCTTCCAGTCCAAGAGCGTGGTATGTCTTTCCACCTTTTTGAGTCCTCTTCAGTTTCTTTCAGTACTCTTTTGTAGTTCTCATTGTAGAGATCTTTCACCTCCTTGGTTAAATTGATTCCTAGGGGGGTTTTTGTTTGTTTTGGTTACTATTGTAGATCAGCTTGTTTTCTTGATTTCTTTTTCTGCTAGTTCATTGTTGGAGTATAAAAACACTAATGATTTGGGGGTGTTGGTTTCATATCCTGTAACATTACTGAAATTGTTAATCAGCCCCAAAAGTTTTTTGGTAGAGTTTTTAGGTTTTTCTATATATAGGATCATGTCATCTGCAAATAGGGATAGTTTAACTTCGTCCTTTCCAATCTGGATGACCTTTATTTCTTAATTTTAATGAGTATTAACCAAAACCGATAGACCTATAGCCATTTTAAAAATGGAATAAGTACTTTAAAATCTACCTACCCCTCACTGAAAAAAAAAATCATCAGACTTTTTTGGTTTGGGAGGGTAGAGTATACTAAATATTCAAAAGGCAGCGATCCCTATCTTACACTGACAGAACAGAAAAAGAAATATTTTTCAATGAATTTAATGGGTCCAATATAATTTTGATATTAGTGTAAGGTCATGTGAATATAATGTCAGGTGGGAATGTGATTAGTATAAAAATATAAAAACAATACTAAGAACAATTTGGCATTTTCTAGTGAATGTGAAGATATGCATAGCCTATACCTGCAATACTAGTCCTAGTCATATGAGTATCTCCTAGAAAGTCTTGGATGTGTGTACCATGAGTCATAAACTCAGTGTGTTCACAGCAATATTGTTTATATTAAGAAAAACCTAGAAGAAGCCACGTGGCTAATTTCAGGAGAGTGAATAAACTGCAGTATTCATGCAGTGGAATACTAAACAGTATTGAGAGTAAATGAAGTGTAGCTAGATTCATCAGTGTAGATGAAAAAGCAAGTTTCAAAAGAATATAAGCAAAACCCAGCAAGGCTAAACAATATATTGTTTAAAAAGACATACATCTGTGGTAAAACTAGGAAGAAATGCAAAGGGATGTTAAATACAAATCTCAGGATATTGTTATCTTTACAGAGGAGGCAGAAGGGTATGATCAGGGGAAGGCATTATCTTGGCTCTTAAAGTATTGTTGAGTAATCCAGGTGGTGAGTATATGAGTATTCTTTAATTACTAATGTTTGTAAATATTCATATATAGTTTATTTTAAGCTGTATATATATTTGTAAAAATTAACTTTACTTTTGATTTTTTGATTTTTCATTATGGAAGAACAAGTATAGTCAGGAAAAAATTTGAAAAAGAAGATAGAGAATAGTATTAGCTACTATTAACATGTATCATAAAACTAAAACAGCTGAAACAGTTTGTTAATGACACATGAATAAGACAACATGTAATAGTACAGAGAACACTTTAAAAAAAGAAGATTGTAATTAATTTAGATTCTAATTAATAAATTCACAGAGGAATGTGAAAGCACATTACAACTAAAAAGAATAGGATGCCATGAGAAGGGAATAATCAGAAAACATGAAAGAGCTACTGAAAATTTAAAATATGATTCCCTGAATTCAAAAATTTAGTATAAGGGTTTAAAGGATATATCCAACAAAGTCTCCCAGAAAGCAGAGAAGGACAAAGAAACAGTAAATGAGTAAATGGATAAAAGACAGGGGATCAATCAAGAAGTCTCATATCTATTAGGTGTTTGCTAATAATAATAGCTAGTAATTTTACATTGCATGCAGTGTGTACCAGTCACTGTTCTAAGCAGTTTACCTATATTGATTAATTTTATCCTCCCAAATAGGATTATTGTTCCCACTTTTTTATAATAAGATGAAACTGTGGCACAGAAAGGTTAAGTAACTTGCCCAAGGACACATAGCTGATAAATGGTCAAACTGAAATATGACACTAGGCAGTCTCTAAGCCTGCAGGCCTAACCAAAACATTATATTGCCTCCCACTAACAGGTTAATATCTATGTGTTTTTGAAAAATCACATAGAGGAAGCTTTCTGATTGGTCGTTCTGTAATTAGGTCTGTATTTTGAAGCTAGGAGGCAGGTATTTATCACTGTTATGGAGCTTAGAACTTATGATGCTTTAGCTAAGTTTTGCCTTAATTACAAACAAATTTGCTCAAACTTGTGAGAAGAGCTTTTAAAATTGAGAATATATGTTAAATTTTTGTATTCAATTAAAAAATCGTCTTTTCTGATTCATCAGTAATACTTTGAAATTGTTTTATTGTAATATTAATAAGAGTAACATTTCAGCTACTCAGCATTTATCTTAATGATATATATTAGAATTTTGCAGTTGCTATATTTTTGGTGATATATTTCCAGGCTTATCTTGAAGAACTCTTACGACTTCGAGAGAACCAACTGTCTGAATCTGTCTCCCAGAATAAAATACTACTTCAAAGGATTGAAGATTCTGATCTGGCACATAAGTTGGAAAAGGAACAATTAGAATATATCATTGTGGAGCTGCAAGATCAGCTGTAAGTGAGATACTTTTAGAAAAATGTTGACAGTGTGTAAACATTAAGACAAAATGTGTTTTGACACAGGATTCAAATTCCAAGAAAATCGATTGCCTGTTATTAATTTTTTCACTTACCCTTTTTTAAAAGTTTACTTTTGTTTTTCTTATCACAAAAGTAATCCATGTTCATTGCAGAAACATTAGAAAATACAAGAAAATAAAAATCACCTTCAGTTGTGCTACCCAGAGTTAACCATTATAACTTGGTGCATATTCTAACAAATGCAAATACATAATTTTTAAAGTATTTATTTACTGAGTTAGTTATTGATTGACTGACTGCAAAAAGATTGTATATTAGACCAGTACCTAAAAGTGCAGTGCTGGTGCATAAACTATTTGTTACCAAATTGTGCCAGAATGTCACTAGGCATGGTTTAGCACAGCTGACTTTGTTTTTGTAGGAAGACTTTTTTTTTGATGAAGAAAGCTGTACACTGAGATATATTCTGGTACAAGCTTCTTAACTTGTTATTATTCAAAGCATTTGTACTGATTATATCATTTTGTCAAACTTGCTTTTATCAGTTAATTGCTTATGATGAAAATCTTCACACATTAATATTTATTTCATCTTAAAGGATGGTTTTTAAATTTTTTATTTTGAAATAACTTCAGACTTTCAGAAAAGTCACAAGGATAGTACAGAGAATTCCCATATGACCTTTCCTAGATTCACTAATTTTCACATTTTGCCACATTTGTCCTATAATTTTCTCCCTCTTGCCATATACACATACATTTTTTTTTAACCTTCTGGAAGGTTGCATACATCATACTTTTCTGTGCCTTACTGCTTCAGTGTGTCCCTCCTAAGAACAAAGGTATATAATCATAGTTCAGTTATCAGCCTAAGAAACTTAAATTGATACAATACTTTCATCTTATCTATAATTCATATTCCAATTTAATCAATTGTCCGAATAATGTCCCTTATTGAAACTTTTGTTTCTCTGCTACCAGATCCAATTCAGGCTCACATTCTGCGTTTAATTGTCAGTCTCTTTAGTTGCTTTAAACTTAGAAAATTTTCTCAGTCTTTGTCTCCTATGAGATCGATATTTCTGAAGAATATAGACTACTAATTTTATAGAATGTCCCTTAATTTGTGCTTGTTTGCTTTTTCCTCATGATTAGAATGAGCGTATCCATTTTTGGATGGAATACAACATAAGTGGTATGTTCTTTTCAGTATATGACATCCTGAGGCACATGAAGTCTGTTGGCCCTTAATAAGTGATGTTAATTTTAATTATGTGGTTAAGGTGTTTTCCTCATTTGTATAATTACTGTTGTTCCTTTTGTAATTAACATGTAATTTGAAAGGTGATACTTTGAGACTAAGTAAATATAAAAGATGGTTTTATTAGTAAAAAATGTTTTATTAAAGACCAAAAAATTTCATATTTCAAGGAATTTGTATCTTGATGAAAGAATTATGTCCACATATTGTTTCTCCTGTTTTTTCTGATATTGTAAAGAGGGTTTGTCCTATGGGGCATCACTCACTGAGGGCCAGGTTAACACTTCACGTAACTCCTTGCTTCCATTAAGCAGGGAGAAAAATATCAAGAGCCAAACAATAGAGATTTCTGGTTATTTCTTTGCAATTAAAAGATTAAAAAGATTATTTCATTTTTCTTTTGAAAGTAACACTGGTAGTTTATATGAATGCTTTTAACTTAAAAATAATTATGAAATCAATTTCTTAACCAAAAGAGATATTTTTATTTGAAGAATTAAGTTTGAATGGATCAAATTTAATTTATTTTACTTTTGGTAATATACTCAAACTTTTTAGTTTGATAAAATAATCTACCTGAGTTATGGTTTTATCATGCTTCTATGATAGAAGAGTATGATTGATTGTCTTGATTTTACAAGGGAACTTTACAATTGTTTTTAATACCTTTAAGGAGATTTTACCAAAAACAATATTATGAGAGCAACAAATAGAAAAATTATGACCACTGATCAGAATTAGACTATTTTCTTGAGTTTAGAGCTTAAAGATTTACTTTCACATAATATGGCTACAATCTCTGTATAGGTTTAAGTTGTCTTACAAAATTCCTTTGTACAAAAACCAATTTCAAGGATATTGAACAGGAGAGTAGTAAGATAAATTCCTTTGTGAATTTTCACAATTAACTACTTTATCAAAATCAGCTTTAAGATGCAGAATAGCATGGGCATTTTTTCAGCTATAGGGAGAGAATGAATTTTTTTTATGTTGCCGAGTTGCTTTTTTTTTTTTTTTTACCAACAGTCAGGAAAGCCTGCAATCAAAGCTGAAATTCTCTTTCTTAATCCTGAGAAGATAAAAGTGGCCCTGAGAAAATTAAAATTTATAATGTATAAAGGAAAAGGTCAGAAAAGGAATATTAACAAACAGAATATGAGACATATGATGTTTGCTTCTATATTATGTTGATTATCTTTTTGTGGATGATTTAAATCCTGTGTCACTTAACTTTTCTTTTTATATGTTTCTTAATGGTAAGATGTATTTTGGACTGCTATTAAAGTATTCTTTGATTATGTTTTTGAATACTCATAAAATTTGAACATTTTGTAGTTTTGGCAATAGAGTACAAGTTAGTATGGAACAGTACAGGAGTACTGTTTAGTACCCTAAACCTTTCTTGCAAATCAGGACTGTGTTCAGATAATGGCTGTACACTTGCCAGTTATGAGCTAAATCTTGAATTAATTAATGTCTTGGAACCTCTGTTTCTTCATCTGTAAAATAGAGATAATACTCACCTTGTAGATCATTATGAGTATTAAGTGGTATCAGGTATAGGATACTAGAAAAAGGAGGCATTCAAAGAATGTTTATTCCTCTACTTCGATTTATAGAACCTTAAAATCTCCTTAATAAATTTACTCAGAAAGATAAGTAGAAAATTAAAGGTGTTTTACCTTATCACGCCAAAATGCTATGGAATAAACAATGAGTTCAGAGTTGATTGTATTATATCTCTGAGTTTTAAGAAATTCACTTTTGAGTTCTAATTTCTAAATGGCAGTTGGGTTAATGTTTAAAATCATAATATGGATTTGTATATACTGTGTGTGAGGGAGACATACATGTTTACTTACTACTTAACAGGTGCCACTTGTAACTTTTCTCATTCATGTTTGATGCAGTATTTTGGAATATTTTACAAGGCCTTGGGAAAGGTACATTTGAATGATTATTTTATGGTTGGAGTTTTTAAATATTGAAACATTTTAAAGCTGCAGATATTATGAGTAGGGATAACGTTGTTTCATTGGGAAATATAGCATTATTTTAGGTTTTAATTCTTGTAGTTTTATTGAAATCTGTGGGACAGCTTGATTTTATGTTGCTTCAATAACTGTTTTAACTCAATTTTATTTATATATTAAACTTCATTCAGTAAAATAAAGATTAACAAGTCTAATGCATCAATTATACTTTGGATCAATATATGGTAAATTTGTCATAAGATTATGAAATGTATTGTGTTTAGGGCCTTTTTAAAACTTATTATCATATTTATCTGTGCTAATTGGTAGAAAAACTTTTCATTTTTGAATTTAGTTTTATTCAATAAACATTTATTTAAATGTATACTTTGTGCTGGGGATTGTATCACTAGCTGAGAATATAGAGGAGAATAAGGCATCCTCTCTTTTTTCAAGGGACTCGCAAGCTAGTGAGGTAGTTAGATTGATATCATCAATCACAATGTTACTTAGGGAGTGCCATATATGAGAGGGAGCCTTTGCAACTTCCACAGGTTTAGATCTTCAGATAGATGATGTGCTGTACAAATGATTCTTTGTAAAACGTGTAGTGCACACCTCGGGAATAGACAGCCACAGAACAGTGTGCAAAACCTGAACACCTTTATTATACTTAATACCAGTAAAATGTGTAACAAGGAGTTTTATCTAGTTAGCTGATGAATTTTTTTCTATTCATGGTTTGAAAAATTATACAGTGATAGTAACATGTCCTGTAGCATTCCCTGGTGAAGAAACTGAAGAGTCTAAATAGTAGAAGTAAAGAATCATTCAATGTTAAAACTAGGCCATCGTTATAGTTCAAGAGCCTATTTGGTGTGGTTCATGGAGAGAGGTGATGATGGACCTTGCAGCCTGCAAACCATAAGTCAATGATGGTATGCCATCCTGGTTCACAAGTTTAGAATGAATGGCACAAATCCTAACAAGAGAGAGCAATGATGCTATGTGGCTCACTTAATAAAGAACAAATTATGTCAGCTCCTAGTCATCTGGTCATGTATGTATTTTGACAGTTGACAATTGTTATTAAAATTTTTAATTACGATCATGTTAATATATCTTACATATTCCATATCTATACAAGGACAGAAAAAATTGAGGAAGTGCGTCTAGAAGAGAAAAAGGCCAGATGCGGATAGGTAAAACCATGTTCTGCTGTATTTTCTTACAACAGGAAAGGGTACCAACTTGATATGGATGTTATTTCACTGCCGTTAGTTATGATATATTTCATTAAAACTGCAGATTCTCCTATAGAGCAGATATCCATATATTTGAGTGAGAGGCCTAGTAATAGATGGGACTACAATATTATATTTCATTGAGAAGTGACTCATTAGAATAGGAAAAAGACTTACTTTTGGCATCCTTATTTAGTAAATGTTTTACATTGAGTACATGGAAAAAAAGAAGGCTCCCTAAATTAAAATTTGTAAATAATGCACATATTGTTATTAATATACAGATATTTTTGTTCACTTATTTCAATTCTTTAACATTTAATTGACCTGTTTAAAAGTTAAAATTAGGACAATCTGAGAAAATGGTAGAGTAGGAAGTACCAAGAATCTGTCTCCCCATATGAACAACAAGTGCACTAGCAGAATCTGTCTGATGTAACTGTTTTAGAACTCTGGAGTCTGCTGAAGGTTTGTAACATCCAGGAGAAGCCTGGGA